TCTAAAATAATCAATATTGAATATGAAACCTTTGAAAACATTTCAAGATTTCTAATGTGTGATTTATTAAATATACAAAAATTCAAATAATTTGTTAATCGATCAAATAATGTTACATCTATTCAAGACACATTCATTAATCAAATGATACCGCTGACTAATTGTTAGATTCTTTAATTTTAATAATATTTATTATTACGGATATTAATAATACTTAAAGAATTATATAACTAACTGAAATATAACAACGGAACATGAATATTAATTATAAGATCGTTAGTTATGGTATTTTTGTTCCATAAAATTATAGAAATAAACCTAATATCAAAATAGCACTTCGCATAACTAATTGTTTTAGTTTTAATTTTCTACAGTGTTGTTGGAGGACCAGCGATTCGGGAGCATTGTTGCTTTAGCAGAGGAGGAAACACTGGAATGAACGGAAGTTTTGGTATGCAGTTGGCTTCGGCTTCTAGAAAAGCTTTACAACAAGCAAGACCTAGGTTGCCAAATTTTCCTGTTAGTATAGACTGAGAGATCTCTGCAAAGCATCCTGGAATATTCATCAATGTTGACAAACATTTGGTGATGTCAGGCTTTCCTGGCATCGGTTGGAATGGAAATAGAAATAGAGATGGGGGTGGGAATTGTGGTTGCTGGGCATTCACGGAAACTGAAATGCATATAGCCAATAGAAGAAAAAATACACTTTTGATCGACATGATAAATATGTTGGAGACTATTAAAATAGGGAGGAATTCCACTAATACGAGTTTTATTAAGTATGTTTTCACTTAATAAAATGAAAATATAAACTTTCTTAGAGGAGACAAAACTGAAGTAGCCATATTAATCGGAATACAGTTTTAATAGCCAAGTGTATATGAGTTACAGTTTTACTCAATTGCTGTTATAAATTTGCAAATTTATGAACATTTAAAAATATTATATAACGTTTGATCATGCATTGATAAAACACATTGAATGAGATATATATGAATTTTGTCTTTTCTTTTTGAGGACTTTTGTACACTGTTATTATGATTTATGTTTCATGAATGATATTTAGTTTTAATAACTTGTAATAATGTCATGAAATATAACCAAGTAATGATGGGCAAAAATAAATCTAAAACATCAGTTTGGTTCGTGCCAAAATAGTTATTTTCTTAAGAAAATTTGATAATTATTGCCCTCTTAAATTCAGCATCATCTTAATATATAACACTTATCTTAATCAATCAATATAAGAATTTTATAGCCTTTGTAATTTGTGAAATAATAAATATGTTTAAATAAATTTTTACGTCATTAGATGGTCTTCTTTAAAAATTATCAAAATTTAATTAAACATAATATCATTTTTAACGAAATTACATGTAAATATATGATCTCAATAACTTAATAACTTAATAACGATATAACTATATAAATTAATCAAATTATATTAAAGGAAATTATTTTGTTATTATAGTTAAAATTAGGTGATCGTCCCGCACCGTGTGTGGGTTATAAAATATTTTATATGTTAAATATATGATTAATTTATATTGTAAATATGTTTTATTTTTTTATAATTAATATTGTATATTAAATATGCTTTATTTGTATATGAATAATAATGTATTAATAATAGCATTATATAAATATTTAATTATTAAAAATAATAATAAATCAAATGAAAAATGTTATATATTTCAATAGAAATTGAAGAAAAAAATATTAACCCAGATTTTTAAAATACTCCAGTAGATAAAAAATGTAAATATGATAACTAAATAATCTGAAAACATTAAAATATATACTCATTTATTTAATTTTTATGGTTGTAATATTTAAGTATTGATTAATTTCCTATACATATGTAAGCGTTTTGTTTTTATACATATACAGTTTTAGCGTTTAACAACAATCACACAAACATTTCATATCATTTTTTGTCTATAGAAAACTTATTATGTAAGCGTTACGTTTTTATACATATACAATTTTAGTGTTTAACAATAATCACACAATCGTTTCATATTGTTTTGTGTCTTTTGAAAACTTTTTATTTTTTTCTAACGTTTAGAGTAACATATAATTATAAATGTAAAGGTTATATTAAATAATAATTCAATTTTTATAATATGTTTTGAATATTATCTATATTTATTTTTCCCTTTTCACAATATAATCTTGTCAATATATATATATATATATATATATATATCTAAACGTATACATTTTTTTTTCAACTATTGTTAAGTAAACCAATATAGGTTTTACCAAGCGGGTAGATGGTTGGTCTGCACATTAGTGCGTACTAACCACATCACCGCTCTTAGGACATATAGAGATTTTTTTAGTAAATACAAATTGACTAATAACTAAAATTAAAATTGGACTGAAATCGAGGGGTTAAGAAAATGTATGCACGAAAAATTTGCATGCGACTTTGATTTTTGAACAATTAAATTTATATCTACCTTTATATTTGTGAAAAAAATTGAAGTATGGATTTTATGTGTTAAAAGAAAATAACAATATATATTTTTTGAAGTATATATTTTTATAATGTATGATTGATGTTTTTATAAAAAAAAATATCTATATTATGCATGTAGGTATGAATTATAAATAAGTGAATTGTAATATTTAGGTGTTGGTTAGTTTTTCAAAAAAATTCCGCAAACATTATGATTTTACATAACACAGGTTTTTGGCGTTTAACTACAATTACGAAAACCGTTTCTAACGTTTTGTATTTAATCAAAATTTCTTATTTTTCAATATTTTGTGATATATGGTTTCTCAATCAAAATTATATAAAGATTTATTATAAAATTTGTGAATTCTTGTTTTATAAAATTCTCCGGTAGCGCTCCGCTCACCTCTTTGTCAAATTTTTTTATGTAACTACAGCGTTTAAACCATTCGGTACCTAAACTTATATGTGTTTGGTTGAAAGTGTAAAATAATATATTTATATTTAATTGTTATATTATAAAATAAGAGTTCTTCTGTTCCTAACTTTGATATATGTGTTAATCTTATATATAATGGATCATAATATATACAAAACTTGATCATTGAAATAATATTTTAAGATGTTGAAAAAAAAATATAAATGAAAGAATTAATTTGTGTAAGATAATATTTTAAATATTACAAAATAAAAACATAAAATCGATCAAAATTATTCTTTTTTCGTCTTCTTTGACTCATATTTTTTTTCTTAACTTTGAATAATATATTAAACATTAAGATCATCTCCAGTGTATTTTTCTATTTTTTCTCTAAATTATAGGTGGAGTTCTCCCTAACATATTTCTATTTTAATAGAAAAAGAAAGATTGTTACTTTTTTCTCCAATTATAGAATCGTTATTTTTTTTTTAAATTATAAGATTTAAAAAAATGTGGGTTAGAGGTATTTTAAACCAAAAGACATAGCTTGAGAGTTTTACAGAAAATCAAAGTCATAAAAATTCATTTTTACTTTTACTTCTACTTCTTATTCATATGTTTATTTATATCAGATAAAACTTATAATAAATATTTGTTATAAAATCTGTAAAATTATATTTTATAAAATTCTCTGATAGCTCTCTGCTCATCTCTTTGTCCAATATTGAAGAATTTATTTGATAAAGAAAATAAATTTCTTATGGTTGGTCTGTACGCATGTATTCATTATAAAATTTGAACCACATATGCGTTTATTATAAAATTTATTTCTTAATATTTTCAAAGGACTCCGTAAAATAAAGTTTGAAAGTGTTAGGGAAAAACAAAACTATAGAGATATTTTTTTTACTTCTACTTCTTATTCATATTTGTTTTTATATTATTTATAATTTATTTTTTTATCCGATTATATTGTATTTTATTTCTAATCTCAAATTTTCGATCTACAATGAGACTGTATATATGAGTAGGACTATGATATAAACTTTTAATTTATTTAAAAAAAAATAAGAGATAAAATGAAATGGTAATGTAAGGCAAGCTATACAAATTCCAGGAAATAATAATATAACAATGTTAAAAATTATATACAAATAATAATATATCATACTCCCAATATTATTAATATATAGCATATATACTATCTTATTGGATAATCTATTATTATTTTTCTATTTAAAAATTTAAAATATATATTGGTTGTAAAAATTTTGTAATCATATTTTATGTAATATATTATGAATAAATATAAAAAAAATTGAAATCATAGTAACTATTATTTTCTGTTTATTTAAATTTATTAAATTTAGTGTTATAACATAGTGTATTTATGTTATAATTTTATAATTTATTTATTTATAACTCAACCAATCAAAACAATTCATTTATTTTAGGAAATTTGTCATGTCACAATCCCATGTCACCATTAATTTACACTAACTTTTGCTAAGGTGATGACACATCAGATTTTTTCATTAAACATGCTTCTCAAATAATAGTTAAAATTTTATTTAAAATAACAAAACATTACTTTGCTTTTCTACAGTTTTAAGAAGTTTTCTAATAAAAAAAATTCTAAGCTTATTATGTTAATTTTGAGCTGTTTTCTCTTTTTAGATTTTCGAGAAGGTTATAGACTTCTGATTCGGTTTAATCTATTTTTATTTGAAGAAACAAAGAAGAAGAAGAAGAACTTCAGGATTAACAAAACAAAAAAAGTCACACCAACATCACAAAAGAGGAAATATAATTAAAGTTAAACTAACAACACAGTATTTTTTTTAAGAAGTTTTCTAATAAAAGAAGAGAAATATGTTGAGGTTACTATGTTAATTTTGAGCTGTTTTCTCCTTTTTGGATTTTTAAAAAAGTTATATTCATACATATATTTAAATAATTATAAACAAGATATTTATTACTGTTATAGAAAAAATGTTAGATTATATAACAGTCTAACAGAGGATTTCAAAACCAATGATCCCAAAAATTTCGAAACCGTCATTATAGTAATCAAGTTTCACAACATTTTTAGAAGGCAAATATTATTGTTTTTTAAGATCTCTATTTAACCAAAAGTAAAAAAAAAACGTGAAAAGCAAGGAACGATTTTTGCAAGATAATTGTTTGTGTCTAGCAAACTGATTGGATAATCACATTCAATGTAATCATGATCAAGACTTCGATATTAGGAGTTGTATGATTAACAAATGGATTAAAGAAAAAAGAAAAGGTCATGGGAATGGAACATTAACACCCAAACACTTGAAGATAATTTTTGCACATCATAGAAAACTTATTCTGCTAAGTAACTTTTAAAACTTTTTCTAAAAGTTAAACAAGAAAACTAAAAAGAAAAAAAAAACACTTTTTAAAAAAAGTTGAGAGCTTTAAGTTGATTTTACTTCCTGAAGAGATGCGTGACTCTCGACTACTTCCTTAGCCTCAACCTTCTTCTCTTCAACCGCCTTCAACCTCTCGAACATCATTGAGGATTGAGAGAGAATCTTGTCCATGGTGTTCTTGAAACAAGTCTTGTGTTCTTCCATTGAGGAATTGACGAACTCGTTGAAGTGACCCTTCATGTTTTCAAGGAAAGTGGCGTTATCATCACTCGCATACTTCCTGCAAGATGCTGCAACTGCAGGTGTTGCCTGGTTCTCGGTTTCAATGTTCTGTGATTCCATCTCTTCCTGTTCCATTACAACTTGCAATCATCAAGACCAATTCTCATGATCAAACACAAGCCTCAAGAACAAAGACCCATATACCATCACTTAAACAATTTAGCCCAACATCAAAACAAGACCAATGTTACTAATCAACAGCCAAAAAATTCATCACATATAGTATTTAATACGAAGGTGAAACTCTAAAAACACACTTGATCAACAGAAGCGAAAGCAAATCACAAGATAAACGCAATTACACAACGATTACTATAAGCCTAATGATACCCACCAAGTGCTCGACTAAACTCCTAACAGAGTACAATCTTAAAACTAACGGAAATCCCAATACAAAAACTCGCGATTAGTCAAAATCTGCTGCGATGATTCAGCTAATTCCTTATATCTCTAGATCACAACAAGTAAGATTCATAAAAACAGAAAATTTAATGAAGAGAGTAATCAGAAACTAAAAGTTTTTACCTTAATCGTGGTTTATCTTTAGCTTCTACTTAGTTTCTATTTTCTTTCTCTGCAATCTCTCTTTCTCTATTTCCTTTCTCTGCAAGCTGAGAGACGATTTGTATTTATACACCTTTTTCTGTAACACTTTATTTGCGGGTACAACACGCAAAGCGCCTTGGTCAGCAAGGCATTAAACGCTGCGTTTTTTCAGCTTAACGGTCGGTCTCTATAGTGGGCCAAGGCCCAGTACGATCGAACCCTCTTAATATAAACCGTTTCTTCCAATTCGACCCCTCTGTTTTTGTAAGTGTAAAGTTAACCCTCGGTGTTGTATGAAAAATTCAATTTTGACCCCTTTTTAACTTTCAAGAGCTTTTATGCTTCTCTTCTGTTTTTATACAAACAAAACAAACATACAAAAACAATCTGTTATTGAGCAATGAGTCGTCTAAGATGATCAAGAAACACAGACAAGCTCACATCATCTGTGAAAACATTACTCTCGCCGGAAAAAGTACCATTGCCATCAGAAGAAGGATTCAGTTTTGCTAGAAGAAAACGAGCCTGCAACAAAATAAACACACACACACACACACACACAACAGGAGAAAGAATCAAAACAACATACATTAATAAACAAATCAATCAATCTCAGAGATCCACACACACACAACAGGAGAAAGAATCAAAACAATATAGATTAATAAGCAAATCAATCAATCTCAGAGATCTATCTAAAATCATATCTGAGATTTGTCCTGAAGTAATACACACGAGCTGATTTTTCTACAATCTCGCCGGAAGATAGAAGATGTACCTGTGAACCGTACTGATCGCATATGACAAGACGCGGAGTGGGAAACCTTTCGCTGATAATCGTGTCTGCATGGTCACGAGGTGACTGTAACAGATGCACAAATGCCTGAAACAGAGACAGGACAAGTTTTTTTGAACAACAGACTCTAGAAAACTTTTTTTTTATCATTTACTTCTCTTTTAAAAATGATGGATGATAATAATACCTGATGTTCAGGTTGATTATGGTATCCAGCTTTTCGCCATTGAGCGATTGTAGCACCGTGAAATACTACGAGGGTGAAGTATGAATCCAGCACTAGGATTCTGTCAGCTGCAATGGATGCCACATCAAGAAGAGTTGGTTCTGGTGGTGAGTGGAACGAGAAAGAAACCAGCGAAGGCTGAATCATCACGATTGAATTAGAAACGTTCTCTCGGTTCAATATCATTCGAAAATATGCGGTTTCATCTGGGCTGTTGTTAAAAACCTACGAAAAAAGATAGAATCCGTGTTGAAGATTTGTTACAATAATCCGAGTCTCTTGTCCTTTTATGGGTAGTGAGAAACGAGTACCTGGACAAACTGAGATCGGCGCAAGTGAAACACGAACTGCGGGAAGATCGATAACTGAGAAGGCACTCTAAAGGAAGAAGGAATGCCCTTCTGGTACTCTCCACACCGAGAGCATAGATTTATCAAAGCTTTGTCCACCCACCTTTGAGGATTAAACTCAGGCTGTTAAAGGAAAAGTAAGAAGAAGAACCTAAGAAACACTAAAGACATTATATGATTTAGCAGATATTAAACTTAAGAAATCTAACTATGTAGCTTTCAATCAACGAGTACCTGGGTCTCCATTTTGAAAGAAATAAGCCGTGCCATGACCACAGCCGCTGCTTCTTGGTCAAAACCATTTGTCAACTCCTATACTAAGCAAGTTTCGAGGAATATTTAGAGATCATAGCTATATGAAGATGGAAGGCAGAAACAGAAGTCATAGAACCAGTCTAGTACTTCCAAAACGTAGGGTTGAGAATTTATTGAAGTTCTTCTCACAGGAACAATCTAATGAAACAAGCAATAAACTTCCACCATTTTCGTGCACATCAACTATTTCTCATATATACTAACACACCTAAATTTATCAATCATATATGACTTTCTTCATAAAAGCTAGGTCATAGGTGGTATAGTTGTTTTCTTCTTAAGATTGTAACTGTGCCTAGTTAAGATTGTAAATCCTAAAAGTACTACTCAAAACTTGCCTGTAAGCTTTCAGTTCCCATGACCCATCGTCTCGAAAGAGTTGTAACCCTGAGTCTTGTTTGACCATTTGAGTGCTGATAACTACAGAAACATAAATTTCATTAAGTAGAAAGTGTCTCCACCTCTCCATCCATAACTTGCAACAACGAATTCAGATGCAAAACTTCAAATCCCTTACTATGTTAAAAATTGGAAGTAAAACTGATTACTTTGCGACTGCAGAACAACATCAGGTGTCTCCCTTTTAGCAACTTCAAAAACTAAACATATGGAAGTGTTTTTGTCAAGGCCACACATCTTCCATGCGCTTGTGTGGCCCTGACCGATGCCAGTGTCAGAGCATAACGGTCCTTTCTGGAAAACAATCATCAGAAAGTAAACTTACTAAACACAACAAGCTTAAGAAAAACATAGTTGCATTCACACTTTTGAAATGATACCTTTTCGAGAGATGCGCAAGAGCCAATAATTCCCTGAACTTTGATATCCTTTGAGCAGTTAATTTCAAATATACCACTGTACGAGAGAAACAAATCATCAGAAACAACTCACTGAAGATGAACACAGCAGATAAGAAAACTGTTCATCATCGATAAAGAAAACATACATGAAAGTTAGGTCAGCCATTACCATGAGGACAAGCCAAGATCATTTTCACCTGACGACTGAAACACCCGCCTGAGAGAATCCCTAAACACCGAATGGCCAAAACTTTCAGCAAGCACGACAAATCCACCTGTCTGCTCCACTGTAACTTTCAGCTCAGCAATGCCAACCTAAAAGATGCGAAAAAAAGAAAGTAACTAAAAAGTCGCTACGAAACACACAAAAGGCATTATCAACAAATTTCTCAATCCAATCACCTGATCAACAGAACTCGCGAAAACATCGAGAACATGGCCTTGGTGAACAAGTTGCTTCGCAAGCGCCTCATAGAACTCCACAGCTTTGTGATAATATGGAGCAGAATCACTATCAATGTCCTTATGAGAGCGAATTGGCTCAGAAAGCTCCCGAGAAACAATCTAGATAAGACATAAGGAAGATCATCAGCTAGCACCATGATGTAAACAGAGCTTTTAGATATAATGATAGGAGAAAGGGACTTACAGCTCCAGGGCCTTCAGTGGAAGGACCACCAATAAAAGCCATGATTCTAGCAGCAGAGCCAGGGAAGCAAGCTCCTAAGAGACCAGCAGCGATACGGAGCGCAGCACCGGTGCACCTGGCAGGGCGGTGATCAGCTGCAACGGGCCAGGGATTGTTCCTGAGCTCCTCAAGAACCTAAGCATGGAGCAAATGGAGTTAACTGATGAACACAAAGTTGAAATTTAGAGAAGAAAGTCGAAAGGCAATGAAATTTACGGACAGAGTGAAGAGTAAACTGGCAATCGGAGGATGGCAAAAGAAACCGTGCGATGTCCTCGGAGGAGAGACCATCTCGAGCTCCGGCGATGACGCCGGAAGAAGGTTTTGGGTTCTTGACGAAGAAACTCAGCTGATCCAGTAGCTGATCTTTGGTACAGTCTTTGTTTCCATGGAAGAAGTAGGACTTGGTGCAGTGTGGGAATCCGAGCTCGTAGACGCGGACCAATGAATCGAAGGTAATGAGGCCGACGATGGAGGTATCGGGGAGGAGATCCAGAGCTTGGAAGAGAGACGATTTGAGGAAATCGAGCTCTTCAGAGATGAGGCAAGTGTCAACGACGAAGAGGAAAACAGGAGGAGAAGGAGAAGAGTAGGAATCGCAGAGGTACTCGACGGTCGTGCAGTGAGGAAAGAGCTCCGGAGGGAGATTGTTATCGGCGATCGAGGAGTAACTCGACGGGAAGGGATTGCGATTGAAGCAGAAAGGACAACCCCATACGGAAGCGGAGAAATCGACGACGGAGTAAGGGTTTAAGACGGAGCGACAAGTCCGGCAACGGAGAGGAGAGTAAGGAAGAAGAAGGGGGTGCTCGGTGGAGGAGCGAAGAGGCGTGTAAATGGCGGAAACTGGGATTTCCGAGTCGATGGATTGTTCCTTCTTCGTTACGACGGGGATGATGTTCCATGGCATCCTAACACCATCTTGAGCTTCGAGCTCTCCAAATTCCGCCATTGTTGACTTCTCTGTAGTCTCCTCTCTTGTTACACAGTCTGTTACTGAAGAAGTTCACAGCGTCACACACCAACTGTTCGACGAAATGCTTAATAGAAAGTTTCAGAACAGAGCACCGTATCATTAATATCAATCAAAGAATCGCGATTTCGTTTAAAGAGAGATAATTTTGCAAATCCCAGAATTAGATTTCTCAGAAACATCACACCATTGCATACAAATAACCTCATTCCTGAGCAAAAGCTGTTCTTATACAAAAACTTCAAACTACAAAACACACACACACACACACACACGGAGGAAGAAGAAGAAGAAGCAAAGACAATGCCTTCAAGTTTTTTACAATCAGATACCGAAACAAAGACTGTAACTACAGCGAGAAAGATAACAAACAAACAGTCTTGGTTCGTCCATATACTTGAGAGCTTCTTCAAGGTTTTGAATCTCCTGATCGTGTCCATTCTACAATCGATTCCTCTCCAGCTTCTGCGTTACAACACAACGTTTTCGTTAATCACTCGCCTTAACGATGATTGATTGATTAATTGATAATACGAACGTACCTTTCCCAGGAACAATGATAATGGGAGCGGATTTGCAATTGTGGAAACAATGCTCGCTTATACTACCCTGTAACATGCTGCACAATCCCAAAGGAGGAATCATCGAATCAAGAAAGCAAAAACATCAAAACAGTAGATCACAACTAGTACTGTATCTTGTTCTTATATACCTTCTTACTAAGCTCCGTCCTCGTGTACCCATGATTACAGCCGCAGGCTTCACTCTCTCTGCTTCCTTGCATATAACAGTACCAGCCTCGCCTTCAACAACACGAGCTATACACTTCACCTGAACATAACCAAACCAGTATCTGATCATCCTCATATGAAATCATCACAATCTCTTCTTCACGTAAAAACCCACCAAAGATTTTGCACAGAGACATACGATTCCTACATTCTCTTCTAAGCTCCAATGTTACATATTGTTTGTATTGGATTCTCAGAGACTAACTTTGCAATCAAGAAAACAGTTTCTTCTCCAAAAAGAGATAGCAAAAGATAGTTACCATGGCAACTTGAAACGCCTCAACGGCGAGTTTCTCCATCAGCGCCTGGCTCGACTCGTAGACAACGTCGTTCTTAACACCTACGAGGAAAATCAAAACCAGCCTCAGAGATATTTTTAGATCTGGGAACTGATTGCATATGAACAGGAAAACGAATTAAAAGATGGAGTGAAAACGAACTTGAGACGGCGTGGACGAGGTGAAGAGTATCGGCGAGGCGGCAGAAATGAGCGAGAGCCCAATCGAAGGCGTGTTTGCTGTTGGGACCATGATCAACGGCGATGATTACATCTCTCCCTCTTCTTCTCCCGCCGGTCTCTCTCTCTAGTTCCGGCTCCGGCACCACCGGAATCAACGACGGCAACAACACTTCCCTGAAACTGTACTCTTCGTCTTCCTTCAAAGGCTCCATCTTCCCCCGGATTTCGGTTTATGGGTTTGGTTGGGTTTTCGGGTTTCGGGTTCTGGGTCTTCGCGGGTTCAATGGATCGAGTTGATTGGTTTTTTTGGAATTTAAAGAAAGTTGCGTGTAGAGAGAGAGACTCGATGATTGATTTGATAATTGGAGTCGTTTGGTTGCTTTTTGACGCGTCGTGATATTTATATTTCATGTCATCTCCACAGCTTATTCTTGTCGGCGGCCTTCGAGAAGAAAATAACCCTTTTTTTTGGATAAACTTATTAAATTGTTGATTAGAGCACTGTTTCCTAAACAACGGTTAATATTTTTAACATGATGCATAGCGGATTTTTTTACATAATGCAACATGTGTTTTATCATCATCATACACATCACATGATATAAATATACAGTCTGAAAATATAAACATTTACATATATACGCATACTATATGTTTTTGACATAAGTACGCATCATATAAGTCTCGATCTTTTTGATTGCCTAATACTAGTGCGGGAAGCATGCAAGCCGCCAACCTAACGTTAAGTATATCTAATGATGTATTATCTACTTGCTTAACTTTATACTTTTATTTTTAATATTGGGTTTTATGAATCTCAAAAAGAGTTAGCTGTTTAACAAAAAAAGAAAAACTCAAAAGAGGAAGCAATGATTATGAACCAAAGGCGAAGCAGCTTACTTGTCTTATGAATCCGCTCTGTCACGGTATAAGCGTATTTAAAGTCCATCAAATATTCATGCATGTAGATAAATTGAATAGAACCTTATTGAGAAAAGAAAATGTCTAGTGTTCTTAGAGTTTAAACTTCGAACCAGCTGTTATATTTTGGAGAAGAAAATACAATCTTTCAACTTCGATAATAAGAAATCGGCTAGTCAACCCATTGACACATATAAAAGATCTCCTTTATGTATCAACGAAACAATTATATATATATATATATATATATCTTAGTTCTCACACTCTTGCTTAACCAATTAAATTCATACATTTCCATTCTTTTGATTTTATATTTTTGTATTTGTTTTTGTTTTTCGCATCCTCTGCACGATCGCCGATACGTGAAACCTCACATGGGCAATGGCCGAGATGGGTCTTTATAACACAAAGCCTAAATATTATCAAATCATAATCATCAATATTTTCATTCTCTCTTCAATCACATCTTCATCCATGGCTTCTTCTTCTTCTTCTTCGTCTTCAATTGATTTTACTACTGCAATTCTAATAAGGGTTGATCAATCGGGCAAAGGAGATTTCAATAAGATTCAAGACGCAGTTGAATCTATCCCTCCCAATCTAAACAACTCTCAGCTCTATTTCATTTGGGTTAAGCCTGGAGTTTACCGGTACGATCACAACAGTAGTTACCTTTATATCTCCAGTACACTATATATACGGCCGGTTACATACTTTTATATATAACTACTGGTCGAGATAATTGTGAGAATGATCTAAAAATATAATTTATAAAAGAAACCAAATCTTTTAAAAAAAATATAAAAATTTAGGTTTAGTTTAATGAGCTTTTTTGTCAAGGTTGGCATTCATATCTTATTTTTTAGTTTACAGGGTTTGATCGTTATGATTTTTGGTTTAGTGTTTTAAGATTTTAAATTGAAGTTTAGGCTTTAAATTTTATATTTGACTATTTTCGTTATCTTTCTATATAGTACATGTTTTGTTGACAGGGTTGTCTTTTTATCAGCTAGTCATTCTTGCAAAAATAGATTCTGTTGATTCATCTATTCAAATGTAAACTTAATCAGAGTCCGATATAAACTAGTTTTAAATGCTAATTAGTGATTTAATATAACGAAATAGAGAAAAGGTAGTGATTCCTGCGGATAAACCCTACATAACATTGAGTGGAACAAAAGCTTCAAACACTTTTATCGTATGGAACGATGGTGAAGACATTTTGGAATCACCTACTCTCACAATCTTCGCCTCCGATTTCGTATGCCGATTCCTCACTATTCAGGTTCAAATCTTCATCATGCACATCGTAATATCAAATATGCATATTTTCAAATTCAAATATCCATATCCATCTTGATGTGTTTTGTTTAATTTGGTGTAATTGTAGAATAAGTTTGGAACGGCGGGACAGGCGGTTGCGTTGCGGGTGGCAGCGGATAATGCAGCGTTCTACGGCTGCGTGATAACGTCATACCAAGACACTCTTCTTGACGACAACGGCAACCATTACTTCAAGAACTGCTATATTGAAGGAGCCACCGATTTCATTTGTGGAAGCGCATCTTCTCTCTATGAAGTAACTACTAACTCGATTTACACAGTTAAAAACACTTCACATTATGAGAGATATAGCATGATCACATATTTTAATTAACTTTTTGTATACTTATTTCGAAATCAAGTTTAAGTGTGTATAACTTTTGTAGAGATGTCATTTACACTCGTTGTCGTCGAACAATGGGTCGATGACGGCGCAAATGAGATCGTCGACGACGGAGAAATCAGGGTTTACATTCTTGGGATGCAAGTTAACCGGTTCGGGTTCCACGTTTTTGGGAAGACCATGGGGAGCTTATTCTAGGGTTGTCTTTGCTTATTCTTACTTCTCCGACGTGGTCGCACCTCAAGGATGGAACGAATGGGGAGACTCGAGCAAAAAAAAGTACAAATAATTTTAAACCTTTTGGTTTTTTGGTAAGATTCTGATGAAATATTTTGGCTGATCTTGTCTTTCATTGCGCAGTACTGTATATTATGGTGAATACAAATGTTACGGTCCCGGAGCAGACCGGAGACAGAGGGTAAAATGGTCAAAAGAATTATCCGAGGAGGAAGCTTCAGTCTTCTTGAGCAAGGACTTCATCGGCGGCAAAGACTGGCTCCGACCTGCGCCTTCTCACTTCAAGAGTGCTCTAAAATCAAACCCAAAATAGTATATAATAAATTAATTAATTCATAATTCCATCAATTGATCAATATGTTCTTCTTTCTTTCTTGTATAAATGTGTATGTGTATAATTAAACAAAACATGTAATGGATATGATACTGATTGTATAAAAGGATTTCTATAACCACTAACTGATTTATTTTTCCTTTAGCTATCGACTGTAAAGTCCATGAAATTCATAAAACTCGTATGATATTTTAGCTCAATTGTAAATAACTAGATTAAAGAAATCGAGAAAAAACAAAATGAAAAATGTTGAAAAGAAAAAAAGAACAGGAATGAATTTGTTTTGAAATAAAATTAAATCATATTTACAGAAGAGGTACTTAGTGGATTAAACGGCATTAAATTAAAACAAATGAAACTAATGACCCCTTTGTTTCTTGTTTCCTTCTTTTCTTCCTCGTAGCTGCATAATAACAATACTATGGAACTTCGAACAAATTCATTCATCACTACAAAACATTCCAAAATGGTTTTGAAAACCCATCTTTCTTCTCTTTCTTCTTCGCCTGAATCAATCAGCACGAGAGGCGCCGCTGCTCGCAGAAGATCTCCGGCCGCTATATTTCTGCCACACAGATAAAAAAAAAAACGTTTGAGATCACAATTAGCAAATGTAACCTCACACACACTCTGTAACTACGAATGCGAAGCTTACCTGTTTTCCGATGCTGAAAGGGATGTACTTGTGCTTGATCATGTGTGAGATTTGGCGTCTCATGGTGAGGACAAAGAGAACGACCCAGTAGCAAAGCAGAATAGGCCAGAAGACTGGAACATCAAACACCGAGAAGAAGGTCATGAGGAAGGCTATGCAGAACGCCTTCGTCATCGAGTACCTGAAACAGAGATTCAATCAAGAAGAAAGCATATGGTGAACACTTGATCAAGAAGAAGAATGATAATCCTAACAAGGTACCAGAATTTAAACTCAGGCAGTCGGCGGATAAATGGCTTGAACTCATCAGAGCCTCGAGTAGGCAGAGAAGCTCCGTCAGAGGCCTCGAGCTCAGGATCAACCAGAGGGGACAAGAAGCCGATGAGCAGATTCAGGAGGTAGATTCCGAGGCCATAGGAGATGATGTAGAACCCATGGATGGAGTAAACCCTCACGCAGTAGATAAGAAAGACGACGAGTGTTCCGATCCAACGGTGAGTCGAGTGAGGTGTGGTCTTGTCGAGATAGTGTTTGTAAACCATCCACGCCTCGTGTGCCCGCTTCTGCACAGGCGTCGCGATCGAACCGCCGTCACCATCGCTTCCGTCCATTGTGATTCCTGAAACCTTATAGATGACTAAAAACACTCAGGCCAAAACTCATACTGTTGCAAAAACACAATTGCATTTTCAGAGAATCAATTGGAAAATGCCATTAAATCACCTTTAAGCTTAAACAATCTCACTAGAGAATCTAAAAACCCTAGAAACTAACAAACTGTATCTCTCGGATTTTCTCACTAACCAAATAGATTTTAACAGATCGCGAAAGACAGATCTGGAATCGAAAACAACCAGGAGCTGAATCGCTCCCAAATGAATCAAAAATCCGTACAGGGCAGAATGAAATTCAACGAGAAAGAGTGGGAGGAGAAAATCCTAAGAATCAATCGGAGCAAGAAAAATCGAAGATCAATCACAAGAGAAGAGCTGAGATTCAAACACTTACGGATGGTGAATAATGGAAAGAGCTTCTTGCTGACCCAAGAGAGACCTCGACGAAGCGAAAAACAAGCGAGCAGATCTGGGCTATGGACGCAAATGCGACGAAGAATATCACAAAGAATACGTTTTTCTTTTCTTTTTCCCTTTTTATTCAATTGTCTCGTGGGTTTATATAACTTACGCAAAAGCCACAAATAAAATGTTTGGTTCAATTAACCCCAGCATGTTTTTAATTTTTCTTTTTTTTTATCAACTACCGTAAAAAAAATTATAAATTAATAGTACTGGGAGTCTTCAAAATTTTATTACTTTATAAAAATATTTTTTTTGATAGAATTCCTAATATTTATTAAAATACAAAAAATATTTTTAATAGTATAAAATTCATCTAAAAATGTTATTTTAATGAATTTGAAAAATAAGTCAAATAATATTTATGAACTTTAAATAACAATAAAATCATAGTTTATTATATTACATTATTTATATATACATAATTACTAATTTATCTAATTATTGTGAACATAATTTTACACAAAATTTTGAAAAATAATATTTTATTTTATTAAAATTTGTTAATTTTGACACAAATTTAATAAAATTTATTAATTTATATAAGTTAATTTGAACTAAATCTCACGTTATATAAAAGCATGTATTTTCATTTTTAAGCCAAAATGAATTAAATCAACAAAAGTCTCAAAAACAAACACATGAGAAAAAATTTATGAAAATTGATTTTTTGACAACATTCATATATTGTCATCATAATCAATTTTAAATTAAATTCAGAAAATCAGCATCGTCTTGGGTGCATATGACATATGACGGCCAAGTAAAATTATGGAAAATGAATGATGATTATTTGTTTACAACCATTTTATGTCCACTTAATTGCAATATTTTTTTGTGAAATAATGTCTTCTTTTCAATTTTGATGTTCATGGCCCAAGATAGCCAGCTTCTGTCAGCCTATTCCGAAATATTTCAATAGGGGTGGGCACTTCGGTTTTTGGTTTGGTTTCGGTTCGGTTTCTTCGGTTTTATGGTTTATCGGTTTTGACGAAAATTCAAACTATATAAAAGTCATATATATTTCGGTTCGGTATGGTTTGGTTTTTTACGGTTCGGTTTAATATGGTTTGGTTTCGGTTTTTTTGGAATTATACTTTTACGAAAAATTTTGATTCAAACTAATATAAATAATAATAATAGATATGAGTGAAATAAAACAATAAGTTCAAAAAATAGAATCTAAATCATAAAAAAATCATCAATAAAGACATATTTCAAAACAGAGAAACAAAGAAATGATCAAATCATTCATAATCAATAATTATAAAACAACAAACAATCTAGATTAAAATTTAATACTTATAAACTTGGAACTAGAATTAGAAGACTTGAATGTATAGAAAAATGAGTTAATCACGTTATTTTTTATTGAAAAAATAAAGTTTACTTTATTATTTATATGTAGATATTTTTTATAAATATTATATTTTAAATTTATGAGTTAAGTTAGTAAATTATAAAGATAACTACGCCCAATAACAAAATATGTGATGAGGACATCTCAACCGAACCTGACTTTACCGAACCTCAAATGCAAGAAGTAGACATACCGGTTCCAAATAAAGGTGTGATAACAAGACAACGGGCCCGTGCACTTCAAGACAAGTACAACCAAGCCATTTTACGAGCTATGAGTGATTCTAAAGAGGGAAGCCCAAATTCAATAGCTAAAGCTGCATGGGATGATACTAGAGACATCTTAGAAGCTACGGACCCAACAAAAATTCAAGAAAGCTGGCCTTTATTGTCAAAAGAAGCCCACGCCAATCTATTTGTCATTGCTACACTTGGAGACAACACTTAAGGCTCAAGATCACGGTCAAAGGAGTAATACATTACACTTATACACGCCAAAACTAAAGAAGGTAAGTCTTTGTTATCAATAATTCATATTATCAATAAGTCTTTGTTATCAAAACATTTTATGTTTTCCCTTATGATTGCTTTTAGCCAGCCAATAATTTTTTTTCTTAATTAGTTAAGGCATTGTTAGCCACCATTTTTGCATTTTCATTCTAATAATATTGTTTTCATTTAAGTGTAACTTTACTTCAATTCCCCTAGAAGGGTATAGCTGTTTGGATCACTTTATAAGGTCTCCTCTCACAGTCTTGTATTTTTACCTTGATATCAATAAAGAACCGAATTTTCTTTTCACAAAGTTTAAGCTCAAACTTGTGTTCTTCTTCTTTACTTTTGTTGAGACCAGTACCTCCAAAATTAAAGGGAAAATCGTGTTGTATCAAAGGCCCTTTCCATAGCCTTTGTGGTACACTTCAATCCGCCCGGCCGTCCCATTCGGTCAGTTTAAACGCCAGTCAGAACGTCTGAGTTCCTTGACCTCTCGACCAAAAACCATCGTTCCGCCATCGTACCACCCTCGTCCCACATTACGGTACCATCGTCCCGCCATCGTACCACCCTCGTCCCACATTACGGTACCATCCCGTCACCGTACCACCCGTACCACCGTACCATCCCATCGTCCCACTCTCGTACCAGCTATCCCACTCGTACCGTCCCGTATCAAATTCCTCGACCCATAGCCTGAGATCCTCGGCTGGCCGGTCCAATCAACACTCCACCCCCCGTTCTATCCAGTGCTTGTATCTATGTACCTAAACTAAATTAAGAAACTAGAAAAATATAAATTATTTAAGATTTAGTTTAAAAACAGAAAAAACATTTTAGTTTAATAGTTTTTAACCAAACCAAACCTAAACCAAAACTATAAAAAAATAATGGCCAAATGGATTTTTAGGTTTAACCATAACCAAATCAAATCATTTTTTTCGGTTCGGTATGATTTGGTTTTTCGGTTATAGTTTTTGTGTCCACCCCTATATTTCAATACATGCATTTACAAGGAAAACTGCTGGAAAGTGCAACATTTTGGTGATGGAAAATACTATGGCTTGTTTGACAGAAGGTACTATCATTTTTACCTTTTTATTCAATTTTCTCGTGGGTTTATATAACTTACGCAAAAGCCACAAATAAAATGTTTGGTTCAATTAACCCTAGCATGTTTTTAAATATTTTTTATCAATTACCGTAAAAAATTATATTATTAATTGAGAAGCAAATTAGGATGATGGTTGATTATCTTTTGCCCTTTACATGAATTTACTTTAGTTACCCTTAATGAAATTAACAAATTAATATAATCTAATTTTTATTTGATTTTTGTTTTTTAATATAGATTTTTAAAATCGAGTTTATATCATAAAAATAATCAGTTTACTAAAAAGGTAACTAGTATAAATAAAAAAGTCCTAATTATTTTATTAAACTAATTTTAATTTGATTAATTTAACCTATTAATATTTTGACTAACGTGATTGATTTATGCGACCACAAGTAAAACCCTAAATCATCTAAACCTTTTTAAAACTCTAATATAATAATTAATGTTAAGTTGATATGAAACAAAGATCTTTTGGTTTTGATCATTTTGGATTGCTATGTTTTTTTAATGCAAACTTTGAATTCATTAATCTTAATCTATCAATTTACATCAAAAGAAAAGCATTATTTATCATGTTTGATAAATACAACAAGACAACAAAACATATATATAAGTTTTTATCGGATAATATAAAAAATATTAAAAAATAAGATATAAATAATATATTTTGCTTTGTCACAAAAAAATATACTCATGAAAATTATATATTTTCAAATATATTAAGTTTAGTTTCGAATCATTATAAAATATAATTTTTTAATCTATAAATAAACTAATGTTATACATTTTTAAAATTTTAATTGAACCCCGCACAAAGTGCGAAAAAATACTTAGTTATAAAGTAATAGTACTGGAAGTCTTCAAAATTTTATTAATTTATAAAAATATTTTTTACAGATTTTTTAATATTTATTAAAATATAAAAAAATATTTTAATAGTATAAAATTCATTTAAAATGTTATTTTAATGAATTTGAAAAATAAGTCAAATAATATTTATGAACTTTAAATAACAATAAAATCATATTTTATTATATTACATTATTTATATATATAATTACTAATTTATCTAATTATTGTGAACATAATTTTACATAAAATTTTGAAAAAATAAAATTTTATTTTATTATTTTATTAAAATTTGTTAATTTTACCACAAAATTAATAAAATTTATTAATTTATATAAGTTAATTTAAACTAAATCTCACGTTATATAAAAGCATGTGTTTTCAATTTAAGCCAAAATGAACTAAATTAACAAAAGTCTCAAAAACAAACACACTAAATTTATGAGAAAAAAGTTATGAAAATTGATTTTTTTTACAACATTCATATATTGTCATCATAATCAATTTTAAATTAAATTCAGAAAATCAGCATCGTCTTGGGTGCATACATATGACGGCCAAGTAAAATTATGGAAAATGAATGATAATTATTTGTTTACAACCATTTTATGTCCACTTAATTGCAATATTTTTTGTGAAATAATGCTTTCTTTTCAAACTTTTTTTTTTGGAACGGCTGAAAGTTTTTGGAATGCAATAACCATATGCATGAGTTTTGAGCTACATTTTATTTAAGCCGCGTCCTGTGTGATTCGCTTAGCCGATGAACATCACTAAGGGGGCAAACGCATTTTTTTTTTGTCAAACTCCATATATTAAATCAAATTATATCGGTTTGGTTGGTCAACCATTCCGAATCGTTATGATCTACATGGGAAAAAAGAAGACCTCGCATTCGTGCATTTTTCACTAGTCGATCGGTCCAGATGTTTTGTAACCTAGGAATAAAACGTAAACTAAATGACTCAAAACCCTTGCACATTTCATCCAAGTAATCGAGCTCTGATATGAAGGCAGGCCAATCGATCGGTTCTTCCATCATTTTTGGCAAATGCATCTTCTGACCCGGTTTCCTCGCCTCCCTCTTTATCTCCAAATCATGGTTGCGCCTCTGTGCTGTCTTCCGTTTTAACCAAATGACACTACCATCGGGTGAAGATTCCGAGGCAAAGGTATATGGCGATTTCGAGGCGTTGGAGGTGAGACCAGCATCGGACGACATCGCAGAGGTATTCGTTTTTTTTTTTCTTAGGGTAACGTTCTTCTTTTCAATTTTGATGTCCATGGCCCAAGGTAGCCCAGCTTCTGTCAACCTATTCCGAAAGATTTCAATACATGCATTTACAAGGGAAACTGCTCGGAAGTGCAACATTTTAGTGATGGAATATACTATGGTTTGTTTGATAGAAGGTACTATCGTTTTTACCATTTTTTCAATTAGTTTTATGTATTTAACTCGAGTAATTTTTCAGATCATTAACACCCACTTCATTTGGCAGTACAACTATGAATTCATCCATTTCAAGTGACATACAATTTATGTATGTGTAAACTTTGTTCAAACTAAACCGAACTCTATGTATATGTGCCAGTTAATTTCTTTTGCATATTTTAATACAAATTTTAAAGTAAGTTGCCATTGATTAATCCATTGAAAATTATGAGATGTAAGATACTTGGGAGCCTTATCGTGGGATAAGGTAAACTATTCAATATTACTCCTTTTACATTTGATAATTTATCATTATTGATATGATCCACTTTACATATTAACACCAGACAATGCAAAGATAAGATAAAGAAGTTTGTTTCAAACGGTTTTCACTCTGACCTATTGCCCCTTCCTGCAAGTCTTTTTTACTTGCTTAGCCTTTTCAACTACATGTTTGATGTATAAAGCAAATTATACTATCTTGTTAACATTATAGTCTCCTGGAAAAACCTTTAGTCTCTTCAACTTTTTTAGGGAGTTAGTGGCTATAACCGCTTCAGAGAGATAATAGACTTTTGAGAATTTTAAACTCCATAGATTTGGCATTAACACTTTACCTAACATTAACGAACATTCTTGTTTCAGAGTCACTAATCCCCATGAACGGTGGACATGCTTCAAAGCCACGCAAGGTTTTTATGATCACCAGCCACTTAAACTAAAGGACGGCTTTGAGAGGGTTTGCCTAATTCCAAAGAAGAAGGTGTAGCTATATTTTGGTGTTGCTTTGATGGCTCAACGTGTAATCATCTCTTGAATCTTGTTCATGTTATTGTACGTACTCTTATTACTACAGGGTGCCAACTTCAGAGACTTGGCTTGGTGTTGAAGTTAAAGACAACAAAGTGAAACTGGACCCTTGAGTATTTGGAAACGTGAAAAACATAAAACTGTGAAAACTAGAAGCATTTCAGAAACACAAACAACAAGTTTCACTTTTTCTTCAATATTTCACAATCGAATGTATACAATTTTTCTCTGTTGCAGATCTATAACTATCATCAATACAAAACTTGCCTTTCGCCAGTGCTCTCTGTTGATCCTTCTCAATCGCCTACGCTCATGAATAATGCTCAAATGGTTAGACAAAGGTTTTGATGATACAGAGGATGCTTACCTCCTCTGCATGTTCTTCACTTGAGAGATGCTTCCTGAGATTATCAAGGCTTGCGCAATCAAAAAAGCACACTTTGCAATAAAACATTTCACTGCACTTGCGAAGAACGTGTCTTCTTGTCTCTGAAACTGGTTGATGACAAGGCAAACAAACACCTGCAAGTAAGTTTTCCCAGACCCATTCTGCAGAAGTGACCAGGACTGACATTTTGTAAGGCCTATATGAATATGCCAGAAAAAGGTTGTATTTCGGCCCTTGCCTTTGTTTTTTGAAAGTGAAAGCTGCTTAGATCAGAAAGGAATAGAAAACAGCTTCATTCATTCAGTTGTAGAGCAATGAAACTCTGTTTGAGATCGAACAGAACAAATGTATTCAACTAAAAAAATGATATAAAGATTGCCATAAATGGCCGAGACGATTCAATCAATCTGTTACTAACTCAAGCTACGTAGTAACAGTTTCACCACTCTTTCTTGCAGGTTTGAGATTTTCGAGCATTAAGCCGACGTAAATGGTTATGAAGATGACCAAAACCCGTCCCGAATGCTTTCCTCAAACGTTTCATCTTTTCAGTTTTTTTGACTACTTCTATCTGCAAAATGTATACAATATGAAACATGAGTATTTGAAAACACAAAGATCAAGTTTACACTTGTGACTTTTAGCATAGCAACAACCAAAGTTCACAGTTGCAAATCTAAAAACTCACAGTTCGCCAGTACTCTCGATGGAAGTCATTATCGAGCCTAGTCTCCAAAATGTAACTTACCTGCTTGACAAGGAGTGGAAAAAGGTTTAAACAGGTTGCGGCTAGAAAAATGTGTTGATGATACAGAGGAACATGCTTACCCTCTCTGCATGTTTATCGCTAGAGAGATGCTTGGTGAAATCACCAAGGCTTTTGCAATCACGAAAGCACACTTTGCAAGAAAACATTCCGGTAGTCTCACCCCTTTCACTGCACTTGCGAAGCACGTGTCTTCTCGTCTCTGCACCTGCACCTGCAACTGCAAGTAAGCTTTCCCAGAGCCATTCTGCACCAGTGACCAGGACTGGCATTTTGTAAGGCCTATATGAATATGCCATAACAATGTTGTATTTCGTCTCTTGTTCTTGTTGTAGATCGGCAAGATTATTTGCGAAGCCAGGCTGATCGGATATGACCATCATTGTAGCCGGAGGAGGATTATCAGTTGGCCACGTCATCAAATCTGAAAGCATGCGCCTGCCGTGGACTTCTGTTTCAGTAAAAGGAAAGCATTTCAGTAACCCTATAAATTCACATCCAGAGATTAATAACCAAATGGACTAACCGGAGATGGTATGTGCAAGGGCGACTCCGGTGGAAGAGAGCCCTCGCAGGAGGTGCTCAGGGACTTGACTTTGGTCGCCATAGGCAGTGATGGAGACCGGACCAGAGTAGCCCAGTTGCTTCAACGCCGCTTCTATGCTCGGACGGACCTGACGAGCATCATAACCCTCGGGAATCGGACAGCTTAGCATGTCCCACCACACCACTATTTGAGCTGTCGCGTATTCGGGCTTCGCCGGGTAGTTCTTTCCCCACGTCCTCGTCACAGGGTCAAGTTCTTCATACGAATAGTTTGCAGCCTCCTGCGAGTGGAGTGGAAACAGAAACAGGTTGTTGAGAGAGAGAGAGAGAGAGAGAGAGAGAGAGAGAGAGAGAGAGAGAAGAGAGAGAGAGAGAGAGAGATTGTCTTTCTCTTACTTGCACTGCATGCTTTTGAGTCTTGAGATGCTTCCTGAAACGCGCCAGGCTTTGGCAATCGAGACAGCACGATTTGCAATAAAACATGGCACTAGTTTCAAGTGCGCGCGACTGGTCCGGAAGAACAAGCGCGCGCGACTAGTCCGGAAGAACAAGTGCGCTTTCGGGCTCAAGTAATGTATTCCAGATCCACTCTGCAGAAGTTTTTAGTAGGAAAAATGTGAAGGGGGAGACGGATACGCCAGAAAAAAGTTGTACTTCGTCCGTTGTTGTAGACGGGCCAGATCCCAATCGAAGACATCTTTCACCTTATCGGATATGAGCATCATTGTAGCCGGAGGAGGGTTGCGTGCTCGCCACTCCAGCATATCCGAATACATGAGTGAGCATATGCCTTCTGTTTCAGGAATTAGGGAAAAGGAGTTGAATATTTAAACCGTAAATTCCAGAGATCGATAGCAATCAATTGGACTAACCGGGAATGTAATGTGAAACAGCGACTCCGGTGGAAGAGAGCCCTCGCAGGAGGTGCTCAGGGGCTTGTTTTATGTCGCCATAGGCAGTGATGGAGACAGGACCAGAGTAGCCTAGTTCCTTGAACGCCGCTTCCATATTCGGACGGACCCGACAAGAATCATAACCCTCGGGGACCGGACAGCCCTTCATGTCCCACCACACCGCTATCTTAGCTGTCGCGTGCTCAGGCGCCGCCGGGCAGTTCTCAGACATCCTCTCTAAACCTGAGCAAATCACAGACACGCAGTTCCTTGATCCGCAAGGTTTCTTTTCTACGTTTGATGTACTACTTTGTACATACACACCAAACTAATGGGCCTAAAAGAAAGCCCGTAAATGTATGGGTAGGGCTGGGCTGTTAAAAGACACAAACTTTGTTTAACTGAACAAAAACGTTTTTAGAGTGCTAAGAAAAAGGTGTGAAGCAGATCGAGACACCAACTTTTGTGAAGCAGAACGAGACACGCTTTCTGGGAGATTTGTATGTAATTAACATCGTAATGTTCTTAACTAGCGTAACAAAATCAGGCTAATTGGAATTTCGATGACACAATTGAGGGCAAAAAACAGAAATTAAATTCGAATTAAGATCTAAACTCTCGAGTACAAAGGAGTAAAGAAATACCCAAAAACAAAAATGATAAGAGCTCTGATGATTAAAATGTTATACACCAAAAGACACAAAAAAACCGAGACGAGATTTTCGAGCACCAAAACATTTTGACAAGTTCAAATATGTTTTTAGGTGTTGGTGGCACGAGTGTAGATCTGCTGGCTCGAGTGAGCAGCGACCATCCTGATCAAACCTTTCGCCATCAGCTCCCTAATCGCCCTCCTAGCCAGTGATCCGCTAATCTGTATGTTCAACCATTTCACATCATGTTACGTTTTGGAATCACAAAGTCAAAATGCAATACATTCCCAAGTTATAGATAAGAAGGAGTTTGAAACTATGTGGAAGCAACGAACAACAAGCTCATCATACAGTTGATCCTTCTCTAAAATTGATTCAAACACCCAGCAATAATGAACAACTTGCTTCATGATATAGTTAATATGGAATAACCCTATGATTCTGAGATGTGAAGTAGTAGAATTGAAGAAACATGTACCCTCATGCGGTCAGAGAGAATGGAAGGAGTGATGAGCTTGAACTTGGGTGCCTCAGTGAGAAGCTTGTCATAGGTAGCCTGATCGAACAACACCATGTTGTTCACCTTCTCCTTTTGCTTTCCCTTGCTCCACTTCTGTTTTGTTTAACAAAACATATACACATGAAAACAAACCATTAAACACAAAGCAAGATGAGCTTGAAGCAGAGCTACACGTAATATAATTACACAAGAAACAAGGAATTCACCATGAGGAGACTCGAAACAAAACGAGAGATTGAAGAAAGAAATTTTGGATGTATGATTTGGTTTTGCAGCCAAACAAACTTAAACAATGTATAGCAGTGAAAGTCACATTTCTTAACTCTAAGTTTCCACTGACTCACAAAGATCGTGAACATACTACACAAAGCAAGACTTATAACTTCATAATCAAAGCACATTTCCAGATACATTTTAGCATACAGATGAATCACATAGACAAGTTTCTAGATTTGTATGAATCATTAGAAACAGATGCGCTAAATCTAACTGGATCCAGTTCATAATAAACACTAATTCACCCAAAATCGACATCTCAAAACTCTAAAGACATAAAAAACAGAGAAATGCAGCACTTTGTTGAATGAAATCATTGGTAACGAGGCAAACGAACCTTCTTCTTCTGTTTTCCACCTCCGGATTTCGCCGGCTTCGATGACGGCGGTGGAACTTTATCCTTCTTTGGCGCCTGAAACATACACAAAACTCCAGATAAGATACCAACCAACACACGGGAAGAGATAAAATGATACAGAAACACGGAGAGAGAGTAACCATGGTGTTATCGACGGAGAGGGAGTAACAATCTACGGCGAGTAGGGTAGAGACGGAAGCTGAGGCTCACGGAGACGACAGTGAGAAAGATGGAGAAGGTCGTGCTTTTGTTATTATATATTAGGGTTTCTGAGTTCTCTGCGTTATAGCAGGCTGGATTTTTCAGAGAAAGCTCATTACTGTTGAAATATTAAAGCCCATTAATGTTGAATATTAAAGCCCATTAATGTTGAAATATTAAAGCCCATTCTGTTGAGCCCAATTAAGTTATTAGCCCACCTATCTTACTCGTCTACAGCCCAAGTACAAATCTTTGGTGACATCCTTCTTCTACGCTGCTCTTAATAAACTCCATTACAGATTCTAATGGTGGTGTCGTGTTCTGTGTTTAGTTTCTTACATAAAATTCACTATTGTATTACAAATTTCACTTGTTTAAATTTAAAATTTTGTGAATTCAATACGAAAATTCATGTTTAATTTATTCATTGATATAAAGAAAATACAAAAAGTTGAAAGAAATAAAAAGAGAGGAAGTGATCTTTCTTCGCCGGAGCTCCGGTCAGGCCTCACCGTGCTCTTATTGCTCCGTTCATATGACAGTACCGTCTCGAATTGACGCCTTCTCGATTATCACAGTGATCTCAGATCGAGTGTAGAATCCTTCCTCTGGTCTATATGCTTCTTGAACATCCTGAAAATCATTGACTTTTAAAGTATCGATCTTTCTTCAACTGTCAGAGAACAGAGGGAGAAGAAATGTAAGAAAAAGCTTGCGCCTTTGTTCACGATGATCACATTTTTACCGATCTTAGCATAAAGGACAACCAAAAGTGTTTTCACACAATCAAAAGTGTTTTCAGAAGGAATAATGTGAAGACGACTGATACAATGATATGTGAGTTCGAGAAGAGTGTTAATGGTCTAGTTCACACAATCAAGATCATTTGTCAAAACCATTCGAGGTTCTTAATACATTACTGTTTATAATGTGTATTAACGGTAACTATTCAACTTGATGTAAAGACGATGAGATTCGACGGAACTGGACGAGGCCACCGTTGACAAGTCATCGGGGGCTTTTGCCAATTTCCGATAGAAAATTAGCCGCCAAAGGAAAAGGATTAAAGAAAGAGGAAGAAAAAAGACCGCCAAGAGTAGTATCCAGCAATGGAAAATCTCCATAATATGATATTTCCATATTTTTGAAATATGAGAATTATCTCTAAAAAAATAGAAAATTAAATTTGTTTGATTCGACCCTCAACCTCTATAAATAGAGGATTTGTGATAGCATATGAAGACCAATCCAAAATCTTTAGAAAGCAGAAACAAGACCTAAAAGTTTTAAGCTTTCTAATTAATTACTAATTTTTATTTACTTTAAAAAGATTCACTCTCTATTACTTATCTTAATAAGTGATATTTTGGTTCAACAATGGCTGTGGTATTAAAACAAATAATCTACTTAGTAGTGATATCTCTGCTCATCCAAATAGCTCTCGCACGAGTGAAAATCGACGCTCCAGGTTTTGATCGTAAATGGACTACTGTTAAATCACAAGTGAAGATCATAAACTGCCTCGGCGACGGTTCGACACTAAACCTCCATTGTAACTCCACTGATGACGATCTCGACCTCCAAATTCTCGCTCCGGATAGCTCTTGGTCGTTTTATTTTAGACCAAATATTTGGTTATCGACGGTGTTTTCTTGTCATTTCACATGGCCTCAAAGACAATCAAAACGGTTTGATATATACGATGATATCAGAGATGGTGTCTTCAGTGTTCGTCAAGGAGGGATTCCATGCATCTACTGTTTCTGGAATATAAACAAAGATGGGTTATGCAGATTCAATGATATAAATGAAGCTTTTGATATTTGTTATGACTGGAATGGTGTTAAAAAATAATGATTTTTATTTTTTAATATATTTTTTAACTTTTTTAGTTTAGCTAGAATAAACAAAATTGTCTTAATGCAGAGAAAACTATTAATAAAAAAAGTTTATTTGATCCCTATATGACATTTTGCCATCTAAAATGATATTTGTCAATTAATTATCGAAAACAAAATAGAAAACAAAGAAAGGAAGTGATCTTTCTTCGCCGGAGCTCCGGTAAGGCCTCACCGTGCTCTTATTGCTCTAAGTTTCTATTCTTATATAAGAAAATGTTAACTAAGCTTGAGCTCTTCTAATTTAACTTACATACACTCCCGGAAAAAATAAAAAAAAAGATCAAAGCTTATCTCTTCCAAATTCTCCGGCCAACAAAGCTTTACAATCTCCGGCTAGATTGTTGCTTTGGCGTCTTAAAGACATCGCAACTTTTAAGCTCCGTTCATATGACAGTACCGTCTCGAATTGTCGCCTTCTCGACTATCACAGTGATTCCAGATCGAATGTAGAATCCTTCCTCTGGTCTATCCGCTTCTTGAACATCCTGAAAAACATTGATTATAAATGTCTTTATCGATCTTTCTTTAACACTCGAAAGCCAGAGGGAGAAGAATTGTAAGAAAAGCTTACGCCTTTGTTCATGATGATCACATTTTTACCGATCTTGGCATTCTTGTCAATGATGCATTTCCTACAAATCACACCACGAATGTACTTTTTATTTGTTTCAGACAAATCCAATTGATGTTTGTATTGTTATGTCCTTTCAAAACTTACCTGATCTTTGTGTCTTTACCAACACCAATCGGAACCTTTCCTTCTGCTAACAGAGATGCAATCTCAGATTCAGTTTGGTAATAATCTGCACCTAACATCAATGTATCCTTTCAAAACAAGAAAGAAAAACCAAAACTCAGTATGATCACAAACCTGTCGTAAAATGTTTTAGAATTAAGCAGAGAGATTGAAGATTCACCTGAAGCTCAACTCCATAGTCTAGGCGTGACCGTTCACCAATGATGGAGCGTTGGACGCTGCATTCTCGCAGGAAACATCCGTGTGAGATTATCGAATCTACCATCTACAAAAATCACCAAAGAGGAACCATACCAAATATATTAGCAATGCAGGAAACAAAAGAAACAGCCATAAAGAGAAAAAAAAGGATTTTGTGCGATACATACACGGCATTTCTCAGTCTTGGTTGGTGGGAGAAACCGGGGAGAAGTGTAGAACGGTGTGTCTGGATCATAGAACTCAAACTTTGGTCTCTGCAAAAACAGGAACAAAAGGTTGAGATATGGATCAAGGTGAAAGATTTGAGTGGTGTTTTATGAGTTTCAAACCTCCTCAACAAGAGCTAAATTAGCTTCATAGAATGTCTTTATAGTTCCAATATCCTCCCAGTAATCTCGGAAGATGTATCCCTGACCAAGCCAATATAGAATCTGTTTGATTATTCATTGTCCTCAACGGATAAAGAAAAAGAAGATGTGAGCTTCTGTACAATCATCTTACTTGAACATCGTGATCTCTTATGGCTGCAGGAATAATCTCAGATCCGAAGTCATTGGAACTCGGATACCGTTGTGTCAGAAGGTTCAGCAAAGCTTCGGTTTTGAAACAGTAAACTCCCATTGATGCAATGTATGGAGAATCTGTTGCTTCTTGATGAGACAATCCAAGCATTGTTGTGTCTGTTTGCTGTCAAAAACCAACAGAAAGAGTTTTTTTTTACGTTCTTGAAATGCTTTGTGACTCTACTGAGTCAATCTGTTTTGAGAATAAGACAAAACCATACCATTGATTTCAGATCGGTCCCCGTTGGTTTCTCAGAGAATTGGATCACACGCCCACCTCGATCAATCTTCACTAGACCAAAGTTTGATGCACGGCTAAAACAATTCACAAATGACCGATTTTTAAGAAGCGATATAATCTCATACAAAAGGCGTGAAAGAGATTCAAGAAACTACAAACCTTTCACTGACGGGTGCGCACGAAAGAGTAACATCCGCGTTACTATCTACATGAGACTGTTGACAACGCATCGAATTAGTGAAACTATAAAGAGGCTTAAAAGATGATTGAAAAAGATCTGTTTAGATTTAGATAAATACCTGAACAAAGTCCATGTAGTTCATTCTATAGAGATGATCTCCAGACAAGATAAGTATGTTTTCGATGTTCCTGTTCTTGGCATCCTACATTAACAGTTTATAGACCACATCAAAAGGTCACAAAGCAGGATTTAGTATCAATGAAGTAGAAACATGTGATCATAAGTTCATACCTCAAACACCCAGAGAAATTTTCTGACAGCGTCTGCTGTTCCTTGGAACCACTTCTTCCCTGCTTCCCCGGGTGTTTGTGTAGCAGCAAGAACCTGTTCAATAACATTTTACTTTTGCATTATTCGTCGAAAATCAAGAAGTCACGAAGTTGTTTACTGTTAAAGAGTGTTTATACCTCAACGAAACCACCTCCGAAGTTAATGCCATTCCCAAAATAAGTACGAGCTAAATGTCGATTAAGGGAAGCCGAGTTGAACTGTGTCAGCACAAAGATCTTGTTGATGCAGCTGTTTATGCAGTTACTCATCGGGATATCGATCAGCCTGTAGCATCCACCCACAGGAACCTGCATTGTTTTCGAAGAACCCTCTCATCAAACAAAAACATTGTTTTGTAGATAACAAGACCCTTGAGATCCTAACCTCCATGAATGTTATTTACAGTTTCGTTGTTTCTAAAGAGAAAGCGAAGAAAGATGAATATATCTTACAGCTGGTGTCGCGGCTCTCTTCGTAAGAGGGAAGAGCTGAGCTCCATTGCCTCCTCCTAGGATGATTGCAGCCACGTTTTTCGGGTCTGCCTTTCTTCTCTCAAACATCGAATGCTTTACTGTCTGACAAAACATAAGCAGCAAACAGAGTTTAACATCGACATGATAGAGCCCGTTGTTTCAGCATGTACTGATGAATCTAATTGAGACAAAGCGACTAATGTTCTTTTAAGCAAGAGAGGAAACGAGTAATGTGATCAACATACCATAGCTTCGTTTGGATTCTCTGAGATGGCAACAGAGTAAACAACACCGTGCTTGAACTTTCGGTTCCAAAACTTCTTAGAGCCCAAATCTGAAGCAGAACGTTTAAAGAAACCATTGTTGTTGATCTTCTCGCCCCAAAATATGTTCTCTACGTTCTTGAAACTGAGTTTTGGCAAGACGGAACTGCTTTTCCCTAACGCAAAGCAGTAAGAAGAATCCATCTTTTTTAGCTGCAACAAACAGAAACCTGGGAAAGTTAATAGCAGAGCCAGAGACGAGTTTTGGCTTAAGAAGAATAACAAAAGCTTCAAGTAAAGTGAATAACACACAAAGCGTTTCAGTCTCTATTAATATAATCAGAATAGTAATAGAATAATCCAAACTCATTGTTCAAATCTAAGCAAAGTGTTAAAGTGAAACCGACCAGAGAAATTCTGTAAAAGTTAAAAAAATCTATAAAGACATTTGTTGAGGGTACCCAAATAGATAAATCCTCGAAAGCTACGAACTTTCCACAAACCCCAGATGATTCACAAACACAGATCCCCGAAATTCTCAAAATCTCATCGTCTCAAAGCACAAAGCTTTTGAAGTTTGAAGATCCTCTAATCTCCATAATTACTAAAACTTATGCAGACAAACAACTCTTTCAAAACCATTGTTGGGTTGGGATTAAACATTCTAAGAAAATTGAATTTTATATACAAAAGACAAAGGTAAAAGGAAGAAGTTTGAATCATATAATAAGCTTCATCCAATGATCAATTGATTCGTATTTCATCATTGAACATTTACTGTTGTTTAGTCACAAATGTCAAAAGAAAAGTGTAAATTTTCAATTTTTTCATCATTAAACCTCAAGAAAACACCCCAAAAAGGTGAAAAGAAGCAAAAAACCAAACATCTGGTGTGCACATTGGTTAATAAACTAAACCTAGAAGAAGGCAAAAATCGATAATGGCAATGCGAAGGCTTGCAAAGATGGAAACTTTTTCATGTATAAGAAACTAACAAATAGAACATCTAACAAAACCAAGCTCCAGAACAAAATCAAACAATAAAATGAAAAATTGAAGGACAAAAATTAGAAATCTATAACACATTATGAACACGAACAACAAAATCATTAGCAGAGTATTAAGTAATTAACTCACCAGAACACTAACTAGTTTTTATTTTATTTTTGAAGAATACGTTGTTCGTTTGAAATCGTAGAAAGAGAGGAGAAGAATAAGTCTGAATCAGTGAAGTGCGTGGTTGACGGAAGAAACTGTTACTTTTCTAGTTTTGTCTTGTGATCGATCGCCCACGAGAAAGTAAGCTTGTTTTAAAACAACGTCATGTGATGACTTTCGCCAAACGGACGACTCTGGTTTATCCCATTCGTCGCCCAATGCTACAAGGACAAATGGAACCCACATCTGATCTAGTGGGCCTCGGCCCATATTAATCTACATCGTAGCAACAAGAACAATACAAAGGTCTTCCATATATTTCCAATGACATTAAATGAGTTTCAGATGAATATGTAGCAGAATAACATATAGCATATGAATATCAGAATAACATAATATATGAAAAGTTTGTAAAGGTTTTATAATTAGTCTAAAGAAATGTATAATTCAGTTCAATTTGTTGCATTACACTAAGATTATTTT